ATTTAATTTGAACAATTACAAATATTATAAGTATGTTTGAAAGTTTAATCGTCAATTGGAAATCGCATTGATTAAGCAAAAATTTTATTTCAGAAATAAACAGTGGAAAAATTTACCTAAATAAAGTATCGGAAATCAAATAAATCGCCGATTAGAAAATATATATTCTTTAATACAGTGATAAATTTTATAAATTTATCTGAACAAAATTGCTGTCAGCAATAAACACTGAGGTCTGAGTATACCAAATGGGTAACCACGAAAGTCCGGTTCAGATAGTAAGTGCGTTAACTATGATGAACCGAGGACTGGACGTACCTTATAAGTCGTCTCTGAAGACCAGTGATTATGGTGCTGCGTCAAAATCTATATTTCTTAAATCCTCGAAAAAATTTTATTCATTATAAAATATTACTGATATGAAAATATGACAAGTCCAATTGCTTTTTTACAAATACTAGCCTGCTTGATTTCCCTACAAAAGTTTAATATAAATACGTATCAGTAAGTTAATACAATTTTTTCTTAAGCAAAATGTTACTTACAACTAGTTAAAACTTAGTTTGAGAAATGAATGAGATTAGTATGATATTATGAGCGCGATTGCATTTGGCAGTGTTCATTTTACGATACTTCAAACAAAAACTACTTACGTTCTCCTAACGCTTATTTGTGTTCCGTACGTGCTCTAGAGTCAATTTAATGGTTTTCTAGTTTTTTCTTCCGTAAAATTTATAGGGTCAACGCTAATCACTGATACAATAGGCCATAATAATGGACTCTGAATAGAAAAAATCAACAAATCCGACCCGCACAACTAAAAATGTATACCTTTGTTGTACATAATAGCTACATGTGCATATAACCATTCTTATGCGCACACATGCGTGCGGGAACGCGGCTCCACACGTCCGTGATGCCGTGTGCGAGTAATAACATCGCAATATTGATCGCCGCGCCGATATAAAAGCAAATAGAAAACCGGGTTATATCGATATCTAATATGTAAATTGACAAACATTTTCGAACTCGAATTAAAATGCCAATACAAAACATGTATTTATATTTTTAAACGCCATAACGCATTCAGTGGCGTGTGGTTACAGCTGGAAATAGAACGTTTGTGGTTAATTGATCGCTTTCAATTTAATACTCAAACATATAATAGGCGCATAACATTCAGGGAAAAAATTGTACCGGTTAACTCATAGAAACTGCGGTTATCGAATATTGATACATATTGATTTACATGTGTTGAATCAAGCATATGCTTAAACACCAGTTGGCAATATTAAAAAACAAAAAAAAGTAAAAGAAACAGATTTTTTAAGGGATAATTGATGATAATTTTTTTCTTGACACTTAAGCCTCTCAAAGCATTATTAATTGAAGTTTCAAAATTATCATTTATTTTAACTATTTCAACTTTAAAAATCCTTCTGACTTTGACTTATGAAGTTTGCATTATAATGTAACTCATAAAAGATGTAATGAGCATTTTTATAATACTCGTCACTTTTTTCCTTTGAATTCTTTTAAAATTGTAAGTTGAATTTTTTAAATTATAAATTGCTTTCAATTTTTGTGAATTTTTCGAAAATATAATCTCAATTCAAATTAAAGATTCTGTGAGTTCAAAAAATCATTTTGTAAGGAAAGTTCTGTTTCAGGAAGACTCATTCTGAAGGAAGAGCCTTCAGAATTAGCCTTTCTGAGAAAGAAGAGATCTTTTATGTATGTATGTATGTATTTATAACTCATTGATTTAAAGATAAAAAAAATATTTCTATTCTATATAAACATTCAATTGCATAAAACACACAGTCCATTATTATGTTTGTCATATTTGATATTTCTATACAGGCTATCATTGTACAAATACCATGAATCTATCAACATTATATATGTGTCATTTTAATGACATAAATCGACATATAAAATGAAAAAATTAATAAACAGATATAAGCACGACATTGTCATTGAAACGCTATTGATAATCATCGCGTTTGGCCATTATATCTAGCCGCTATTGTTTACACATGTGTCGTGTGTCGGATAGTATTTTATTTATCAATATACACACGGTGTTTGATGATCATAAATTCAAATTTTCATGCAATTATTAAATATCAACTCTCGGATAGTAGTAATAGAAAACTAGTCGTAAGCGCAAGAAGCATTTTGCTTTAAGGCAAGTTGCATGAGCTTTCTGATACGTATACATAATCAACTTAATCAATAAACACGAAATAGATGAAAAATCTGTAATTGTATTTGATTTAAGTGAGAACGTTAACTGTAATCAGTAGCTACCTATAAAACAGAACGTACCTATGCTTTGCCATAGATTTTGATTAGAATTGCTCAAGCTTACCGCAAAATTCTTAGGTTTGATCATTTTTTATAATTCAACGACTTATCGTAGGCCTTAATATTTTCAAATCAAATATAAGATTCAAATTTACACTTTTCTACTAATTACAAAGGAACGGCTCGGCCGATCATCGCGCAGACTGATAAACACTATTCCTTATCGAGTTATAACGAATGACAAAATAATTTCTAATAATAATAAATAATATCTTCAAATAATTTTTTCATATCTGTCTAGCCGTTTTAGAGAAAACACAGACGAAAAGTCAAAATCGGCTCACGCACACACATACCTTTTCCAAATTTGGTCTCGTTCGATTCGGAATCGCTCTAAACTTCGAAAAAACATAAAATTAGCAAATCGGATTTTTTTGCGAAAACATTAAGCTTTCCTTGGGTAGTGGTCATTGGAACAACAATTTACAAATAGTGGTCAAGGGAACAGCAATTGACCATCTGTTAGATGCGTTTTTTCTCATTTTTACTCTGAAATCTAATTCAGTTAGTTCACTCCCTATGTTAAGAATATTAGGAATTATTTCAATATCACAAAATCAATTATTTCAGGGTCTTCTAATGCGGTTCTGAACATAATGTGTTTCTGTTGGGTTGATGTTTTGTTGAATGTAGTGTGATCGAGCTTCATAGCTTGTAAGTGGAAGCGCGCGCGTATGCGAGCGCGCGGTCGTGTTAAATAAAATTGAATAGCTACTCGTGTGGGTAATTACTTCGCGCTTTATTTAAGGCCTGAAAGCCCAGCGATGCTGAACATGTCGAATAGCATTTGAAAACATAATAAAAAGAGTTGATATTTAATTGCAAATTTATTTAAATTAACTCGTGATTGAGCAAAATTAGAGATGAGATTGAAAGAAACTACACGGCGAGATAATCGGTACATTTGTACTATGAGGTACAAAATTAACAATAATAATCACGATTTACATAACAATCAAATGACTTTGACTAGTTACATAACTAATCTAATGTAGATCGAACTCAATATCAATAAGCAGTCTCAAGTAGATCTATAGAAACTAGAAAGATACCAATTCATTATTATATTATTGCCGAATGAAGTTTAACCCTCCGTCGGTCGGATATTTTTTCACCTTCGAACGGTCGGAAAGGTCTGGCTGGACTACCATTCATTTTACATGCATTTATATGGGATAAATGAGTTTTTGGTGTCATATATATTAACGATTATATAAAAAAATCAAGAAATATAAAAAAATCGTTGCTTTTTTTGTTAACTTTTCTGTTTTAAATCAATGAAAAACAATATTTATTCTTTTTCGGAGCCTTTGAAATAAATGTGAAATTCAAATGAAAATGAAATGAGGTGCGTCGCCTTTGAAATAAGCTGTAAAACTCAAAGTGGAAATATAATTTCACTACTGGTTTGCCAAAAAAAAAATTTCGAACGCACTACGCGTAGAAAAATTGTTTATAATGTGTGCATCACTCATCCGATTTTCAGTGTTTGTGATTACCAATAAGTTTGGTAGGTTTTCAAGGAACTCTCGTCATGAAAATACTAACATTCATGTTAGAACACATAGCAAAGAATATAAACAACGCAGTTTGAATAGAAAATACCATGAAAAATGACAAAATACTGGTTTACATATATAAAAAAGCGTATATTTCATACAAAATGTATGGGTGGTCTAGAGACTTTTCCGACCGTTCGAAGTATAAAAAAGTTAATATCCTTATAATTATCCTTCTGTCCTGATTTTTTCATTGATCGACAGCTAATGAAATTTTAGGAAAAGTCAAGAAATTTCAAGTCGATAGGATTACTAGAAGTATTTTTTTCTTTTAATTGAAGTCGAAAAAAGTCTGGCCAGACCACACCGACCGACGGAGGGTTAAAGAAATGCTATTGCAAATGCAGCGGTGATAAAATATAACTTATGATAATTGATAAGTTTAGGTTGTGGATATATACAATTTATTTTTTAGCAAATTTTTTAGAATTGCTTTCAATATATGTTTTTTTAAATGTATTATTTTGATTGTGGCTTTGAAATGATTTATTATTAATCATAAATATAATTAAAAAGCATTATGTAGCATTTATTCAAAGTTCATATATAAAATTAGGAAACCACCATTTTCAAAACCGGTAAATTATTACGCCTGCGGTTTATGTACATCATAATTATTTTGAATAACAGATTTTGTATATGTAATAAAAACTTACATATTACATACACAAACACGTATATAAAAAATGTAAGAAATATACATAAAATACCATAAACTGTTGGTAAAAAAATAGTAAAAAAACTCTTTGAAATTATTAATATAAATATTTTTGTTCATATTTTTGAATGAAAATGAGTCTCGGAACTTACACTACATTAAATATAGTATTTGGATGTATATATTTTAACGAGGAACCAAAAAATCTCAATATATAGCGTAAATTGAATTAAATTAATGACCAATATATTATTATTTCATAAATATATGTTCATGTCAGTAATTCGCATATATTATTTTAATCGCGTGATATCATTCTTAAAATAACATTCTGAATCAAAAACGCAAGTAAAATTTATGCTGAAGTAGCTGCTTGTGAGAGATAAGTTTGTTGCAATTAGTGTTCTTTTGAACTTTTGCCACGCTGACTTCTTGAATTTAAATCAGTTTTAATCAAACTGGTATACTCGAAAGTTGGTCTGGTTAGCAACGGATCTCTTTGATAAGAAGAGGACCATTTGGAATAGGTAATTTAGAAAGAGTTTATTTCATGTCACAAAAAATTTAGAACTGGCAAAGTCCCATAATTTTAACACGTAGACTAAGATTAATCATATTTCTAGAAAAATGTGGCGTATGTGGTTATTATCCTTCCTTCTGGCCGCAACTTTAGCAAACGGCCAAGAAGCTATCGGTGCTTGCAAGGACATCGCAACTCTTGTAAACCGCAATGATACCACCGAGGAGCCAATTATCGACTTTCAAGGCAATATTACGATCTTGGCTATGCTGAATGCCTCTTCCGATGCTTGTATTAAGAAAGCCGAAATGTAAGATATAATAAATATATACTTGGTAATATTTTTGATCGCCTGAATAAAATGCGTTTTCTTCAATTTAAGGCTCAATTCCCTCAATAACCAGTTATGGGATACGAGATATTTCCAAATGAATTTTGTAATTTTGAATTCTCTCAAAGAAGATCAAGTTGGCGATCGACAAAGAACTGAGTTATTGAGACAAGCCGCCGGCAACGTAACAGTTTTGTCTAATCTTGTTCATAACATTACTGGAGCGCTTAGAACTGAACGCGATTATATTCTAGTCGTGAACAGGTAATTCTATCGCTTAACATATTTTTTTTAATTTGAAAGGAAATAAAAAAAAATGTTTTTACATGTTAATGACACAAGCTCAATGATTATGAGTAGAAATTGCCATCAATTTAACGCTTAACTAAAAATCCACTAACCTTTTTGATATTTGATTCAGACAAAAATCTGACTCCATTGTTTTCACTGCAGCTCACAACATAATGTTCAATATTTATTTCACAAAGCACTAACATAACTTTAGGGAATAATAACTACAATTACTAAAATTTATTTCTTATTTGAATAGCTACACTATTCAATTTCTTTATATGGAAATTTACTTTATGAAGATTTATAGAATAACGTGTTATGACTTAAATCATTTAGATATTATATAATTTCCAAATATTGTATGAATCATAGACCTGAACTCTTACAAAGCCAATAGAAAAATAAATAAAAGAAAATAGACCTGAACTCAAATGGTAGTATCTTTCATATAAACAATGCTACCATGCTTATAAATACGTCATAGATTTAAGAAGTGATTAATTCATAAAAGAAACCTGAACTCACAGAGAGAATAATATTATCAAACAAATAACAATCACCGAAAAATATAGTCAAATATTAATACACTTTTAGCCAATATATTGTTGGTTAATTATTTTATATCAATTATATAATAATGTAATTTCTAAACATATCTACAGATGCGGACGCCAAATATTCCAAATGATTGATCCTTGCAATGTAAGCTGCTCTGATTTGAAAACTGCGATCTTTACCACATTTTATGATAATGTCTACCGCTTTTGCGGGGATTGTCAGGTATAGACAATATGCAATATATAAACTTAGTTAATCCCATGGACTTATTAAGTATTTTTAATTAATTAAACTCAGGTTCCATACGCTACTCCGATCGATGCTCGCATCCAACAGCTGAATCCCGATTTTTATAAAAATATAGATAACTGCGGTGTTCTAAAATTAAATGAAAATGGTTCAGAACTTTTCGATTCTGAAGAAAGATCCAACTGGACTAAAGCTAATAACACCTTATCCCAAGAAGCCTCGAAAGAAAAAGATGATGTAGTATCGTCTGAAACTAGTTCAGAGCAAAATAAAATCCAAAGAACTTCATTGAAAAATACTGATGAAGTAGCACCTATTAAAATCCGTCTCGATTTGCCAAACATTCATACCATCAATTATAGACTAACTAAGCACAGTCAAAATTCACCCGGAAAAGAGTCGCAAAGTTCTGTTAAAAATATCTTCATTGAGCAAGAAATATCAAAGAATGGTAAGGACCGTATCACTGTTCGAAAAAATGATGATGACTCAATCATTGAAACCCAATATTTTGACAAAAAATCTCATACAAAAAAAAATTGGGAAAGTGAAGAAAACTCTGAAGATAAGAGCTGGCGCAACAAAGATCATAAAACTAAGAAGTCCCAAAATTGGGCCAATGAAAGACATGAATCTATCGAAGAAACTATTAATGATAATTTAATAGAATTCTCAAATAACACTAGTGTTGAGCATGGTTTCAAATTAACTGATCGTAATGCTATGTATCACATCTATAACAAGATGCTGCCCAAGTTGCGTAAATTGTTAGAACAACAAAGAACCAAATAAATTTGAATCTGCATAAATTATTCCATCATTTACTTTTCCTATATTGCCTGGTCATACCTAAAATGTAATTAGGATAATAAAATTGCCAGGGAAATAATTTTGATTTGAATATAGAATATTATTGTTTAATAAATGAAATATTTTCAATTATATTTGCACGTAACAAATAAAATATCAGCAAATTAATTTTAGTTTTAATGCTTTATGTTGCACATAAATATTAATATTGTTATAGCGTAACTTCTCCACAGTCTTGTATAACTTCAAGATCATCTTCCATGGCTTCTTCAACAATTGGTTTCTCAAGCACAACACGACCTTTAGAATCAATCGCTTCAATGAATTCAGATTCTGTTTCCATCTCTTGTTCTTCTTTCTGTCTTCTTTCACGTAATCCAGCTGCAGGAGATCTGATGAGACTGAGATCTCTTTGAACCTGAATTTACAAATTGGTCATATTGAGCTAGTAAAACTTTGTTTTTGTTTTATCATCTTGATTCAAAAAATTCCATTCATGTGCCATTTTGAAATAAACACAAATTCTGTGATATCAAATTTCTTGAAAATACATTCTATACAGATATTTTGCTGGAGTATTAACAATTTAAATTTAATCACATTCCGTAATGATTACGAATAACCACAACTGAGAGAGTTTATTTAAAAAAATCGGTTTGCGTTCATCCGAAGTAATGAGTTCAATCATGTAACCAAATTTCTTGAAATATGTAACAATATGTTGTTGAAACACAATTTTCTATTGTTTTTAATAATATTAATTTGATCATATTTCATAATAATTAGAAAGTAACAAGAAACAATGATTAGAAAGATGCATTTAAAAAACCTTTAAACCCACACATTTTCCAATCGAAAAACTGTTCGTGTAAACTATATTTAAACATTAGTTGATATTGGTATGTTTACCATAAAAACAAAATATAGTCATTTGACTATCTCTTCAAAGAATTCAAAGAACTATTCTAGATAAAAAAGAACTTCATTTACCTCTTTAACATCCCTGAGAATTTCTTGTTCTCTGCCTTTCCTGAGCCTCTGCATAATATGATTATTTTGTCTTCTTTGTTTAATACTTTCAATTTTCTTCATGGCTTCTACAGTCTTCGTCCATAATTGTCTGTCGTATTTAACTGGAATATTTCTTCGTCTTTCAAATTCAAATGATGGATCAACAGCCAATTCTTTGCCGGCTGTTTTTCTGAATGCTTTTGTCCATTTAGTTTTACGAGGATTCTTTTTCTTTTTGAATGCAGCATGACATTTTGAACGACAAAACCTGAAAATCTAATATAAGTAATAAATTAATTTAAATGGATATAATACAATTCAGGTAATAATAGTTCAAACTTTGCCACAGGCTTGAGAAGTCTGTCAATAATTGTGAGGTTATATCAAATTTGAGTGGTATTGTTTTTTGAAAATGCAATAAATACTTTAAGTTTTATAACAATAATTAAGTTGCATATCAAATTACTAATAAGTTGTATATCAGTTTAATACATGGATATGACATGTTATTGTGAAATACTATAAGCCATGTGGTTTATATCATATCAAGACTTACTTTACAATCGTTTCTGACAAATTGTATACCATGTCCTGGGTATATTCTTGAAGAACAAAAATAGCACGTTTCAATACGCATTTTGTATTTTAATTATCTAAACTTATCAACAAATATATTTATTAGTTTTAACAATATTTATGACAACACAAACATCTCTAAAAACATGGTCGTCGTGAAAGAAAGATGTAGAGGACTACCAACATTCAAACCTTGAATATGAACAAATGAAATTCTTTTTTGACAGATGGCAGCATCAGTTCAACTTCACACTGATTTTTGACGTTTTAATTCGACGCAACTTGGTGGCAGTAGTGTTTAAAGTTAAAATAAATATGTGCATGTACTTTTTTAATTTGAAATTATTTTGTATAAATATTAGTGATAAAAAGTCTTTGTTATTAGCAGCAACAGAAAAATAATTGTAAGGGGAAATTAGCAGTTTTTTTTTTTTTTATATGTCTTATCGCTGTAAGTCTAGCCCAGTCATGAAAACTTGTTAAGAATTGTTTTATTAAACTATGTTTAAATAAAATACATCATTTGGATCAATTAAAATTGAAACCAATACATGTGTATCTGTCAATCCTTTCGGTGTCCGGACCTGGTGAGGTTTTCCGTGTTGAGTCAAATTAAGCCGCAGGTTCCACTTTTTGTATTGCCCTTTTGTCAATTCCTTTAAATTTCAGCTTTACAACCATACTTCCCCCGGAACCCAAAAGCTTTGGTTTCCGGAAGCTGTCCGCCGAGTCATCGGAGGATCGCTAGCTGGCATCGATTATGAACTGGAGCGGTATCTGATTGCCTTCGAACCTCTAACTTTTGTTCTTGATTGATGAGAACACATTTGGCAAATGCTTTTGCTTCTGTCCATCTTGCGACGATCAAAGAATTTCACATCTAATGTCGCAATACGAATGTCCTCAGTTGTCCCTATTAATCACTCTCAATTACATCATTTATAATATATATTACATCATTTCAATTTCAATTATTATGACTGTATTACTTATTACCACAAATATGAGGAGAATAGTCATTAATATCGATCTTAATTTTACTTTATTTACTTTTTATATAAACATAGCATTTTATTATTTACATCAATTGACGAGCTTCAAATTAAATAAAAATGTAGATAAATATGATAAAGCGCACAATATGATACATGATATTCTGTATACTTTGAAATCTTTGGCACTTAACAAATACTTACAACATAATAAACAATAAAAGTACTTCGATGAAATGCTATATGGTGCAAATTAAAATGTATCATTATTTATTCAAATGTTATGAAAACAGATATATGTCAACATCTATTCCACTTTCAATGGTAATGGCTAGACCATTACCATTTATAAACAAAAAATAATTGTAGTAATTGTATCAAAAATAAAAATTACATTAAATAAAATCTTACAATATTTAGTTATAAAAAAGGCCTATGGATCACATAAATATATCACTATTATGAAAGTGATACATCTTATTACACCAAAATATAAATTAATATATAAATACTAGTTTCAACATTTATGATTATCATTCGAATCTCGTTCATACAAACTAATGAGATACATTTTTAGTTTTATAAAATTTATAGTTGTGAAAAAATATTGGGATAGAATTTTCACACACGTAACAGCCCTCTAAGGCATTTATCCCTCACTATTATATTATTGGAATTCTTGTAGTCAAGCCACTTATCACATACTTTTTTTTAACTTGTATATCTATGTATTTTTCAGAAATAATCTTAGAGACCAATAATATTAAAATATACATATATCATCAAAATTCGTTTTCGCTTTCATCAACAGAATTCAGATTATCATCTGCCATATCAATTTGAGCTGATGTTACATCTTGAGAGGCAACTTTATCATACTTTTGACCTTTGCTAGACCTTACCAAATATAATATTTTATTAATGCACTTATTCAAAATATACACTAAACCTGAGCAAGCTATAACACCTAAAATTATACTTATAACTACAATTAGTGTTACGTATAAACGATAAAACCATGCTGAATCTTGGATTTGAGGCATGATAGTTAAAGGGTAACAAAAATTTTCATTGTTAGTTTTATTTGTGAGGACAGCATCCTCGTTGCAAGTTGAGCACTCATGATCATTTGGTCCCCTGCAAGTCAAGCAGGAATAATGGCAGTGAAGACACACCATCATATCCGAATTTCGATTTATTTCTTCTACTTGTCTTTGAACTCTATGGCCATTTCGAGCCGCCAGAGAAGACCACAAGTTTTCTAGCAAGTGCTTTTTATTGTGATTTCTTGTAGCTGGTAACCAAGTAGGTTTGGCTGATAGAAAACTTTTTGCAGGACAATTTGTATAACAATGTCCTTCAAATAAATATGTATCCGGCATGCATTCTGTAAATGTACAGTAGATAAATTAGAAATATAAATAAAGTACATAGTCGGTTTTTGAATGGCTGATTTTAATGAATTTCATACTACCAAAAGAAATTTTAAAATATTTTTTAAAGTGCATGCCCATTATTGCTGAGAGGTGATTTACTTTTTCTGACTTATTCAATTTTATATGATGAAGATTAAAAATTAGTTTTTCTCAGCTTCAGAAAAAAATATTCCATTATTTCATGCATGAATTATCAATCAAATAAAAAAGTAAAATCAACAAATTAAATAAATTAAACTTGAGTGAATATTTATAATAGAAAAGTCTAAAATTGCCTCTAGAATAAAATTAATTTCATTTGACTACCTTGATTAAACTAAACTGAATAAATGATTAATACCTCAAGTACTGCAAAATAGAAAAGAAAAATATAGGTATATCTTAGTAATAACATAAAGTTGAGTTTCTAAGAAAAAGTTCTGTCTCACAAAAATTTTGCATATTTTGATTGATTGATTGTTGAAGTAACTAGAGAAGGAAGAGTTAGCAAAGAACCAGTATTATTTTCATGATAAAGTCTAAAATGTTAGAAAATATTTCACTCACCAAGCTACCTTTTGTATGAGCTGTGGCTATATATCAGTCATATTGCATCAGGCAACTAAAATATCCCATCACCTAAAATATTTCTAAAATAAAGAATATTATTACCAACACCATAAGCTAATTGTTAAATAGCAAAAGAACTATACTCATGATGTATTTCTTCTTTATAACTTAACTGATTAGAGTATGTCCTCAGGATGGGATGAAGTAAACAAAACAATTGTTCATATGAAAACAAATCATATTTTATTTTTTCATAATATGTTTTGTTGTTAAATTTATAATAGCCATATATAAATATTTAATAGTAATGCTACCTAATTTAAAAAGTAATATAATTAGCAATATTAAAACTGCACTGCCAACACAATGGATCTTACATATTCAATGATTCAGATTTATACAACTATTATGTACATACAAAATCGCACTTTTAGAATATGTTTTCATTAGCGATATATTTATAAATGTGCAACAGACAAAGTGGCGCGAAGTCGATCATTTCGTCACATGTCGATAAAGGATAATTAGTAATAGTTTTATTTACAAAGATATCGTCGACAATTAGTTCGATTTAAATATTATTTATATACATTTCTCGATATTTTGGGGAAAATACATCACAGCGATAAGTTGAAATAAACGGCTGTGCGCCACTGCGTTGTCACGGCCTTATTTTTATGAGTAACTTATTAACCTGTTATTCTATTGTACACGGTTAAAAAATTATCACATTAAGTATAATATAATTACATTAGTTACTGTCTAATCATAAATGTCAACACGAAACATATTTACAATTAAAATCATACATACATGTTATCACAATAATACAACACTTAAATCATAGTTGATTTGTACTTATGATTAACAACAAAACAAATAACAATTGAAAATTTCTTATTGCAAAAGATTATAAAGAATAGTTAAAATTTCATGTTATTGCACATGTACATTTTGTACAAGGCCTAAAAGAATTAGTGAAGTAATAAAATATTTAAGTCTTTATTTTGTAAATGCAATAAGCGATTCTTTTGGAATCTTCATCACCAAAGAATTTAAAATATGGCTGCAAGAAATTTGTTAATTCAAATTTATTTATTTCATAAGTTAGTCACGAAGATATATTTTAAATCAAATGCATGATTGAGAAAAATCTAAAAGTTGTCAGTATATTACAATTAGCGAAAATAAACTAAAAGATCTCAGTAAACATGTTGAAATGTTTAATATTCTATAGTGCTTAGAATATTTATGATGATTACATGATTTCTTAAAGAATAACGATCTTTATTACAACGTTGTTAAAAAAAAGAATGATTTTTGTACGTGTCTTTCTCTAATTGTAAATTGACCTAAACAAATTTTCTAAAATCTTCAGCGACGCGAATGCTGCTAAAATATAAAAATATTTGTGACATCCTTTAGCTGGATGAAAATATATATTGAAAAATATTATAGGTAATTCACAAAAACTATAATATTTTTTAATCAGTTTCGCAAAGATCGCAGATATTCTGCGTTTCATTCACTTTAATAAATAACAAAGTACGATTCAAAGGACGTTCTCTGCAGCACTCAAACGCGGCAAAAGTTTTCAGTATTTTGTTTAAAACTTTAAAAGGAAAGCTTGTATGTAAATCAAGCTCTCTCCTTTATTCTCTAGCCTCTATTGCATTTTGATAAATAATATTGAACCAAAAGATTTTACACAAAAATGAGAAAATGATATAGATTTGAAATAAAATTGTCTAAATTGCACTTCATATAGCTCGACAAAACTTTGTTAAATTTAGCTTACAAAGTATTTACATGGCATTATAATTTATAATAAAATACCAAATACGTTATAGATAACTAATATAGTTTCCATTGAAGTTGAATACATCATAAGAATAATTAATATTGCTTTATATACCACCCAAAAGTTTAGTGTAGGTTTTGAAATAAATAAATAGAAGAATTTTTGGAAATTTTATAGAAATTTACAATTCGTTTACCAAATAATGCTCATGCAGAACCAAAGTTAGTAGCCTAAAATTCACAAAAATAGTTCTATATACAAAGTGCAAATTATCTATGACAAAGGAATTAAATTAGAAAGTTATACAATTTATAGCGTAACTAATAGCATGAGTTAGTTATATTATATATTATTTATAAATGATGTATATAAATAGTAATTGGAACATTAGAAGTAAATCTGTACAAGAAATGTACAGATAAATTTTATCATAAATATATTTATAGTCTCTATATACCTAAATTGATTTGGCACTAGTCGTCCTTGAACACAACAAAATTTCTTTTGAATTATTTTAATACCTAATTCGATGTTATGTACAAGTAACTACATGATTAAAAACATTGGGCTAATAACACCATTTTTGGTCAATTTGATTTTTGAGATACATATGCTCTGGTATAAAATATATTAGAACAGAAATGATGAGTAAAATATTAGTAGTTGAGGTAATTTATATTATTAATATTATACTAAGTATTTAAAGATTAAGTATTGTTTGAAGAGTTAAAAGTGTGATTCTATTTTGATATTCATATTAAATAGTTCATTTCTGAAGTACTAAAAATTATTTTAACTAATTAACTATTTAAAATCTTCTTGAATTAATATATTAAGCCCGCAGTCCGAAGTATTTGCTAAAAGCGGCTTTTTTATTAAACTATACGAACTTTTCCAAGTGTTTCTCACTTCTGGTTCATCGTTTAAATCTTTGTTCAAAATTTGGCTAGTTGTTTGTCTTTTATTACCACGACGATTTGGTTGATGTTCAGTTGGCCGTGGGTTTGCAGAATCGATTGGGAAGTGATTTGAGACAATAGCAGTAGAAGACGTGTACAGGAAGTGAGAGAAGTAAAGCGATGCTAACGCAAATATTAACAAACCTAGACAGTTGTGATTGTCGTTGTAGCTGATGCAGGCGGAGCTGGTGACGTCGTCCGAGGCGGTGCGCTGGACATCTATGTGGCCTTCGCGTACCTGAAAACAAATGATATTTAAAAATCAATAGAAATAAATAAATGTCAAGACTGAATGAAGTCACCAGGAACAATTCTGAATACGAGACGAAATGTTCACATATGATTGTTCCCAGTAAAATCCGGCATGGGTGTTACAGCGCTGAAGGCACTGTGGATTTCAGATTGCTACCGTCGCTCAAATCACACGGTGTTTACTGGGTTTTAATATAATTTAGAACAATAAAATGATATTCTACAATTAGTGGCACGAAAAGCAGGTGTAGATGTCATTTTCGCTTATTAAGCACGAAAGGAAGTTGCAAAGAACTTCTCAAGATCTGTAAATAATCGACCTAATTGCTAAGAAATCTTATGGGTGGCGTGCATTATTAACTTCCCGTAGGGCAATTATAGTAGTCGCAAAAAATCGAAAATGAAAATTTTTATATATCTTTACGTTTCAGAGGTTTCTGAACATTTTGGCATACCTTAGAAAAAATGGAAGTATGTGTGTGTGCGTGTGTGTGCGGATACAAATTTTCGTCGACGATTTCGGGAACACGGATGAAGCGATTTGAATAATTCAAAAAACATTCGTTTCGTATTGATAAGAAGACGTGCTGATTAGTTTTTGGCAAAGGCAGGTGCAACGACTTCAGAAATATGGAGGAAAAAGTAAAAAAATGAGCCATTTGGCGGTCAAAAATAAACATTAGACATATGCACATCAAATAATTAGATATTTTATAGAGATTTTAACAATAAGTATAAATTTTGTTATAGGTTCCGTATCAATGTTTACGCGTTAGACGGCGCTTCGATATTTCGTCATTATGCAGTTAAAGCAGTATGATTGCTTTGAAAAAAAGTTCAGAATTTCCAAAATATTTCAAAATGAATGATTTGAGATAGAATGATTTAATATGGTTCAAAATTCTATTAAAAGTTTTAAATCATTGATCAACTTTTATTGATTATTATTGATTATTTTTAATTACTCGAATTTTGAATTGCGGTACGGAAAGTTCCAGCAATTTGTCTTAAGGCACGATGCCTTAATTGCTTTAAGACAGAATTCCACTTACAGCTAGTTCCAAACTTTGATTAATTTTTATAATTAAACCACCTTATGTAAGCTTATGATATTTTCATTGAAATCGACAAAAAACTGTCTGTATAATCTTTGCCAAAAACTTATCAGTGCGATTCAACAATTTTTAAAACCGATTCTGGACTTTTGGCACAATCTTTGACCATTTTTTTTGGACTTATCCGCAAATTATAAAGAAAAAGCTCTGCCGATCGTTGTGCACAACGAGTTCTTATCGAGATTCATCAACTGGCTTTTGAATAGAAAAAAGAAAGTTCAAATTTCGACTAACATCCGCATACTTTTTCCAATTTTGGCATGAAACAATTCAGAATAACTTTAAAAGTCGTGAAGATATAAAATTAGAATTCGAATGTAAACATTAGCCTATAGCCCTATACTAAGTGAGACGACAAAAAAGATTTAGTGAGTGCAAAAATATAAATATTTTAATGGTACATCGCATTGTATCAGGACCTGCTTTATATTCTTCACAATTAATATTAATCCTATATTAAGAAAAGTAAAATTTAATATTATCTATTCACTTTATTAATTGCGGATATTTTATTATTATTTCTATGAAATACGCGAACGACTATAAACAGAATGTATTAAAGAAGTACCCGAATGAAAATTTAACAAAGCGCAAGGACAATATTATTTTTATGAATAGCCTCTCAAAATAAAAAAAAAATTCTACCATTTTTTTACTCTTTAATATAAAGTTACATTCTTTATCATATTTTCAATACTTACATGATGTAAATCCCTCCATTGCCCACTGGCGGTGTCAGTTTCTAAAGAGTTATGTTCCAATCCATCGGGATAATTTGATCCGCCGTTCGCAGAATATTGAACAGATTTTGAATCTTTAAATTTCGAATCCTTGCTGAATTCAACGTCACTCTCTTGTGGCGGCTCTTGTGTCCCGTGGAATAGGAGATCCCATTGCGTCAATTTGGCTAAAAAATAAAGATTTATGAATATGAATAACGTAGTAACACGATAACAAATGATAAAGCATTAAAAATACCAAATAATAAAAGATAGCAATTTGTTATAATAATTATAAATGCTATATTTTGATTATTAGTCAAACGTCATGCAAAAAATATAAATAAAAAATATTATTTATCGAAATAGCATAATTAACAGAATCAATAAAAAATTATAATCTGGTGAATATAAATTAAATCAAACTATTCTACCAAGTTATAAATAAATATACCCCTTTCATTATTATTGCTCCTGCTAAACGAGTGATCAGAGGAACCAGGACGAGTCATTGAATCAGGTGTATATGGAAATTCCCTGGAAGGTTTAATACCAGAAAACACAGGAAAAATTCTTTGAATTTTAGGGTATTGTTTTAAAATGGACGGCAGTTTATGATCTTCTTCTAATGTCAATGGATTATTATTTCCAAAATGGATTACTCTATCGTAAGATATCGGCGTCGTAGTAGGGACAGTATTTTTAATATTCATAGAATGATCGACAGCTTCATCAGTTGGAGCAGTTTTAGCTTGTTTTGGTCTTAAAGTTTTGCTAGCTGGATTATCTTTTTTCTGATTGTTCGTATAAAATTTAGACTCGGTGTCTTTAAACCCTCTATTCGGCAATTGCGTTGTTGAATTAACAAACATGCTACTCGTTACATAAAAATATGAATTTGAATTGAACTTATCAGTTGTTTTGTAAACTAAATCTTTGAAACTCGAAACAGGTTTAGCCGTCGTCTGTTTTTGAGAATTTTTACCCGAGTTTCTATGAGAATTTTTTGAGTTTTTATTTTTTCTGGGCTGATTAACGACTTGATAAGTCGATGCCATGCCATTTTGATTTTTACGATTGTTTTTATTTTGTGGAGAATTTTGCTTTTGATTAGTGTTAGGTATGAAAGAGTTAGGATTTTGTATAGGAAATGTAATATTTGGAGGTCGAATTTGAATGGGATCGTTGGTATGAGCCGGGATAGCGGTTCCATAAAATATCAGCGACCAGGTATGGACAGTCGCTCGGCCTAATATCCAGAATGATCCCGAAATTGTTAGTAAGCATAAGAATAAAAATTATTTAGTATTAGTAATATTAAAGTGATACTGATGTATTAGATATTAACAGTTAGAAACCTTTCATGACAATTATTATAATTACTTTATAATTTATTTATTACTAATTTATTACTAACCCATATATCGGCCTTCGTTGTGAACTTCTAAATGCCATAGACCTTGAGGTGATTCTCCCCATGTATGGACGGACATAAAAGGCCAATTACTGAATCCTGATCGTGAAGCATCATTTTGCCTAAATTATAACATTAAAATTAGTATAAAACAAACCTGAATACTTTCGAAAGTACATGATATTTAACTTTTATATTGAGTATACCATTATGTAGCATTAAACTGAGAGTTTTATACAATGCCATTAAAAAGAAATAAAGTACATGCAGATAAAGTAATGTAATAAATTATGATCGTCAGCATTTTATCACCTAGCAGCTAGTAGAGTGACACGAGTGCCCCCGGGACTCGTGAGATGTATCTGAATGTCGCCTCGTCGCGATGCTTGCAATGAAATTTTAGCTTGAACATGCTCTAAGAAATTTACTCCTTGACAAAGAGACACAGGCAATTGCAGAATTACTTTGCTCTTTGGAGGAATCAACCTAAAAATAATAATATTATAAATTCATTGTATATATTACACAAATTTTTACTGATGATTTAGAAATCTGCTTACTTGTCTATATGTGGAGCAGATACTTCACACCTCCTTTGTTCGGGTACTGTTTTCCACGTTCTGGCTAATTTCACCATTGCTGCTGCATCCATTAACCCATAACCAAAGGAGTGACTTACATTACGGCCAACTCCATTAGTTGCCCAATCGTCTGATTTCAAATTGGCAGGTTTAGCAGTGCGCACAACTGCAAATAATATAAACGTAAGAACTAATATAAATAAATTTAAAATAAATTTGAAAAGAAAATGTTGATTATGAAAATTTATTGAGAATAATTTTTTATATAAATACGTGAACTTACCTATATGCTGCATATCTCTCCACGTAAGATCTCTATTTGCTTCTAAGGCCAAGGCACAAATTCCAGCAGCCAAAGGTGCTGATGCAGAGGTTCCAGTATGGGACGAGGTGCAAGCATGGTGAAGATCAGTCGTTATAACCTTGAAACATAAATTACTTATATCAAACGATTATTGAAATTCATACTCAATTTGAATTTTATATGGTTTGATGAATACTATAAGCAAAATAGACGACGATTAACAGAATTGTGTGAAAGAACCAATTTGGAATAGTTATGAAGATTATTTAGCTAGGTTTGATTAATATCTTTTTCTACCTTTGTACACAGCTTTCGACTTGTGCAACCTAAAAATTACCTGTTTTTCATTCTGAGCTCCGCTGCTGTACGTGGTGGCTAGCGTTGAACTGCACATTTCCGAGTACCAAGGCACAAGGCCACGCTCGGTTGCACTCGATATCGAGAGCGTCCAAATACTGTTCGTGTATCCGTCGCAATTGCAATTGTCGTGCTCACGTCCGCCGTTACCTGATGCCCATACGAAAATTGACCCTTTACCAGATCGGCCCTGCATCGAGAATAATAATCATTGTCAAAGAATTCTCATTGTTGAAGAAAAATTAAATTAATACTAATTAATTCTCATTAGGTTTTATAAACATAACCATATGTCTCAGGCCTCCCTAAATATTTTAAATTAATAAAAAATCTGAATGGGACATGGTTATCTGTTCAAAATTTTGTATAAAAAAATTACAATTATATAAGGTTGAGAAAATATATATAAAAATTTTTGGCAGTTGAATAAAAATATATGATCTATTAAAATACTTTATAAGACGAGCCGGTTGGATTTCTATATTTTTCTTCGTTAAAATGAGTAGAGAAAAATTTAATTTTTTCAGATATGTAATAGAAAATTTATAAACCAGTACTTAATTACAAATAAATACAAAAACAAGTAAAGTTAAGAATTTGTTAACAACAATACTTGAAAGTAGAGTAAAAAAAATTTATAACCAGTCATCACCTTAATTATTACGACGTCGATATCAGGAAATAAACGACAATATTTTAAAATCCATAACAGAGTATTTTCTTTCTTTGTTAGTTTTTTAGGTTGTGAGCACATTTGTTTAAACTATGAGACGTTAATATAATTTTGAAGTATACGTTATTTAATTGTTTTACAAGATTTACTGTTATTTTTAAGTTTGATTCAGTTTTTTTATATAACCTCTACAAAAGCATACATGGAAATGGGGTGAAAAGAACCATCTGAGCATTTACCCTGTAAACGGTGGAAACAATAAAAAATAGTGAATGAAAAAGGAAATACAAATCAAGGTTATATACAGTGTTATTTCTGTAATATTTGTTCTTATGCAATTTATATTTTGCATTGGTTGAATAATTTAGCTATTATTTCGTAAAATTCCTTCATAATTAAAAATGTTTGCCCCTGGTTATCCCATTGGACCTTTGTGCCCTGCCCTACACTAACACTTATACTAGTGAAAAGGATCTACTCATAAAAAGATAAAATTAATATAAAAAAAATATAGTGTTTCAAAAATCAACGTTCCGTTGGTAGATCTTGTATTAAATTTTGATTTTATTTGCAAATGTTTGATTGTATTTTTTGTACAAAATTAATTCGATTTGCTGATGTTATAAAAGGGCCAAACGCAGGAAATAAAAGTAAATCAAACAACAATTACAGAAAGGCTAATTTAGACAGAATTGAGATAAAAACTCTTTTTTCTAGTGTCAACGTGTAGAAATTCCTACATAAATCTAAACTTCAACACGCACTGAAATACATAAGGATTTGAAATATTTGAGTACGGAAACTTGTATAAAAATTAATGAACCCATTATCACTATGTCATACGTACCTACGTATATATGATAATGTAGTTATGATAAATTATATCTCACCTTGGTGACTCCCTCAATGAACGCTCTAGTCGCTAGTTCCCCCGGGCCGTCTACAGTTTTGCCGTCGTCGTCGGGTCCCCAGGATGCACTGTATATGTCAATGTGCTGCGGGTTCAAACTGAGAGAGCGAGCTTCAACTGCATCAGTCACATCCCCGTCCAACATACGTACTCCTGAAGGAAAGATAAATGCAACTTTAATAATTTATGTCAGAGTGAGTAGTCGCACTACATGAAGATTTATGGAAGGTGCCAAGCACTCTAGAGTTATTGTCCGAATCAAAGAGAATGGTAATGGAGATGAATACATTACATCCAAAAGAATAACTTTGAACACAACTAAAACCTTACATATTTTCTTTAAACCAGTGATATGATTTCTATATAAAATGCCGTCCAACAAACTTAATATAAATCGAATAAATAGATACTTTTATCAAGATTCACAGCACGTCAAAAATTACAGTTACTTAAGGTTAACAAAGTCTACCGGCGCAGGGTCAAAAACAAACAAATGATCCCTGAACATGCATACCTATTAAAGTTCAAATACAACTAGCGTGAAATTAAGGACATTGAATAACGTGACTGACTCTTTCGCGTGCACACCAATTTGCAAGCATTTGCAATAAAGGTAGAAAATACGTAACATTTGATCATCGTTTTTTGTTGTTCGTCCCATTTAACTGCACAGAAACGTGACCAGATAAAACCCGAGTACATAGCCAGTGGCTTACGAGAAGTCAATAGTAAAAATATACATTCGCAGAATATTGCATGGGAAAAATTCTAAAATAATAACATGGAATGTATAATATATGTACAAATATAATATATTGTATATATTAAATACAAATACTAGATAGTTTATATCGATCGACAAACAAACTTTTGACATTGTTGAAGCAACAATGTTATCTTATGTTTCACAATAAATTGTTATCAACAAAATTAGTTTTCTATAAAAGATATGATCTAATAACCTACGACCCACGTACACAACATACGAGTATTATCTATTGTATATTTCCATCTGATCGGTACATCGATATTTGCGCTTTCTATAACACAATCTTACAAGGGATAACTAAATCAAGAAAAACGATTTCTTAACAATAACGGAAACAATATCTCAGCAACAATACAGATGAAATACCAATAACGTATGCTATTTATTGTTTATAAAATAAAGAATTCATTTATAAAATTCATAGGTTACCAAATTAGTTCTTAAATCCAAATAAAAATGTTGTTGAGGGGTAAAACTTAAATATAAACGTTGACATTATTGATAAAAAATATGCTATCAAAAGAGTTCTTTCAATTACATTGACATAATTACTAAATTATACAATTAAAACTAGATAAGTAAGTGCGCTAAATAAGTACTTTTTAACTTATTGTCTAGTAATTTTAACATTGACTAGTAGATAGGTATTAACCCGTACTCATATATGCATATTCAAATTAAATACAAAATGGTAAAAAAGATATTTCACATGTGTCATTTAAATAAGCACTATATATTCTGTACAGTACATATACATATCATAACCAAGTGCATATGAAGCACTAGAGCACTATGCAAATATAAAAAATAAAAATTCTAAAAATTCAAAAAAATAAACTACTTATTTCCATCTCACCTCCAACACTAGCACCGTAAGCAACGCCGACGGCACAGAGCGAGTTATTAGCGGTCGCTGCGACTTCGCCGGCACAACGTGTGCCGTGTCGGTTCGAGTCTATCATGTCGTACCGGGGCATGGGGTCTTCGTCGTGCGAATTTACGTCGTATGATGCTTGAGGGTCCTAAAATAGGAAAAAATATTACATTTTAGTGATAATGTTTTTGGATAACTCAACAAATGTTTAAGAATAGTTAAGAATGTTCCTAATACAAATTAAAAAAACAAAGACATAGAAATGATTCGATTGAAAACATTTATATATAATATTTATACGATAATTGCGTTATTTATATAAAATATATACATAAATTATAACCTGGTATAAAGATAGAAAAATTCTAATAAAAAACATTGTCGAATAAATTCTAAACTACATAAAAAAGATGAAAAATTGATTAATAAATCAATATACGTCAAAAACATAGCTGCATATTTAAAAACTCTAAATATACGAGTACGTACTGAAGACGTATAGAATCTGTTGAAATATTGCAAACTATTCTAGCGAAACAATAATAAAATATGAATAGTTTCTGTAAGTTCAACTGCTCCTATAATATCTTCCTAAAACTAATAAAATATATGAGAATAGAAGTTCTGATTGATAGTAAAACTTTCATTTAGCTTCTTACCGATAGTGCACAGACCGAATAGAATCGCATCGTAAGTTATAAAAATTAAAACGTCACACCTTTTACGTTCGATATTAAAGTTGTTAAAGTTCTGAAGAATCAAAATATGATTTAATACGATTAATGAGATAATATATTTTAAAATGTTAAAAACTTTAAGTAAGCCCGACAGTTCGAAGCTCGTTAATGGCAAATGATTGAATGGCTACCAATAAAATTTCTTCGAATAAATAATTATAAAGTTTAAAAGCTAAAATGTTCATTAAAGTTCAGTTTTAAAGCTCGCCATATGTTTGTAGTGCGTTTTATTACAGTACATAAACTGCGACAGTGCACTCTCAAGCCATTAAAACACTGATGTAATTCAATATAATATACATTCTCTTGTTTAAAATTTAAACTGCTATTGCTGTTAGGTTTTCCATTAAGAAAGTTTTAACAAAAGCACAATAATTTACTGTGACTTTTGAAAATATATGTATATTTCATAAGCTACTTGAAATGAATAATTATTAGATTAGTTATATATTTTAGATTAGTTATTAGATATATATTTAATTCGATAAATTTCATATGGTGTTCGCAATTACAATTTACATATGGTGTTACAATTAACAATTATTGTAATTGTCAAGAATAAATAATTTGATGTACAAAACGCAATGAATAAATAGAACTATCAGCAAGTAGGAAAATTATTCTAATTTTAAATAATATCTATCTTCCACAGAATTCAACGCTTTCACAAAGCGCGCCGTTTATCTTCACGTCAGTCGGATGCCATTTCGTACGGTGGAGACGCCTTGTAGAATTGACGTACGCGCTCAGCACCTGGTCTAGCGTCCAAATTCTTGAGGAAAAGCTAATGCTTGTTCTGGTAAGTCGTCTTTGTATATTCTCTATTAACTAATTAACTATTAAATAATAGAATATAATAAAATGTAACCCGTTTCTATAAATCCGTAATAATAAAATCTATTCAAATAAAACATTTTAAATTGTATAAATGAAAAATGACAAAAAAACGTTTTTGAAATATATTAAGTTTGACAATAACTTTTTAAATCAAATAAATTTTTTACTAAAGTTTCTTATAGTATCAAGAGATATATGACAGTTTCTTTCAAAAATTATCGTTTATTTATTAATTATGCGATATTTGTAACATTGTAATTATATTATATTGAGTTAGTATAAACAAAACTTGTAGCTTTTTAAATTTTTAAACTTTTTAAATCAAATAAAATTTTTACTAAAGTTTCTAATAGTATCAAGAGATATATGACAGTTTCTTTAAAAAATTATCGTTTATTTATTAATTATGCGATATTTGTAATATTGTAATTATATTATATTGAGTTAGTGTAAACAAAACTTGTGGCTACTAAAGTATACTTAATTTATAATTGAATATAACTTATTTATTTATTTATTTATTTATTTATTAATTTTACAAGCCGTCGGTATAATATTTAATATTATAATAAGGCTTAAGTCAATATTTTATAGGTTTAATATAATTTGATTAATTATTAGCTATTTAATTACTTAATTTATTTATAAACCTATTTATATTTACTTAATTATAATTTTTTTTTTTTAATATAACTAGTTTATTTGTTACAAGTGTTTTTTAAAAATTTAATAAGTAATTTTAATAAGCTTTACAATACATACTTTTACAATATTAACAAATTTTAGGTTATTTTATGATATTTTAACAAATTTGAGTATCTTATATTATTATAATTATTATTATTATTAATATTATCATTATCATTTTTATTATTATTGTTAAATATTTTTACAATTTTTTTTCTTTTACAAATTTTTAGGTATTTTGATAAAGGAAATATTTTGTTTCACAATTTTTAAGTGTTTTTAAATATAAGTTTTTGGTTAACTAATTATTAAGTATTTTAACAATAACAGTCGAAATAAAAAATTAAAATTTTGTTTCACAATTTTAAAGTGTTTTGAATTATAAGTTTTTAGTTAACTAATTATTAAGTATTTTAAAAATAACAGTCTTATGAAAATAATAATTAAAAAAAAAAAAAAAAAAAAAAAAAATGTTTCTCAAATTTTTTGTTTTTTAAATTGTAAGTGTTTAATTAACTAATTATTAAGTATTTTAACAATATAACAATAACAGTTATATAAAACAAATAAAAAGAAAAAATAAACAAAGAAAGAAATAATAATAATAATAGTAATTTAGAAGTATTTAGTTTAACGAACGAATTATATTGTCACGAGCATAGTAGACATAGACATGGCTGGTAGGTGACATCAGTTAGTTTGGGCCCGTAGGTTCGTAGGGATTTTTGCCATCGTCGATCCATTATGGTTATTATAAACTATTACATTAGCAGAATAATCTACGTCCAGCTTCAAACGTAATTTATAACATAGTCAGGTTTCATTCTCAGTGAACAATATACAAACATTATTACCTCTAGAAACATGAGTTAGTTATAAACGTATATACTAATATACAATGAGAATAATACGCTTTGACTGTAAACTGCAAAGGTTTCTTGACAAAGGTCGGCTATTAATAGTACTAACTAAATTCTATAAAGAAGTACAATTGTAAAAAATAATTTGTATTTACTACTTGTACAATATTACTTGCTCTAGAATATTACCACCCTAGAATATTCAACGTAATCAAACAAATAATTAAAATTTGTGTGAGATAAATCTATGTCGTGTGAAAAGAGTCAACTTGTTTCATACAAGTGAGTTTACGAGTATGCAGTAACACGATACTTACACCCCACAACTGGCAAAGTAATTATAAACTTAATGTAACCGGCTTAGAGTATTTAATATGTATACACAGTTATGAAGAAAAAATCTTTAATACCTCTTTGTTATGATTCACCCATTTTGCTTTGTTAGAATTTCTCTTGCTTGACGTTGCCCTATCTTTGATGAATAAAATTTATAATAATGCATCATCAGACTGAAGTTTCATTGTTTTGTTCGTTAATGAAACCAAGTTGCATATGATATCACAATTTCTGTTGAAGACGTTTGGATAAGAAAACATCAAAATACGTGCTTGCAAATACAATGTTGTTTAATAAATACATTTTACATCAAAGATTTTTCCAAGAAAAATAACACCGCAATTCCAGTAATCCTTTTATGCAAATATTCAATGCTGCTCATTTTATACAAAAGCGAAATAAACCATGTGCTATCTATTTCAGGAAACGATATTCAAATACGATTTAAAGAAAGAGAATACAAATAAGGTTTTTGTTGCTTTATAATTTAAATTTAAAATGAATATCTATGAAAAACAAATATAAATAGGCATTATCATGAGCACGCTTTGAAATTCCATGAATAACATGTTTTGCTCTTATTTTGCGTTATATATAAGAACATTGAGTTGAATGAACAATTTCCGGACAACAACTTCGAAGAATATTTAAGTACATTGAGATTAGAGAATTGCCATTAATAATTACAAATACTTAAAAATCGAAAAATAAATTTTTATTCGACCTAACATCCTATAGATAGTAAAAGCAATTATTTTTCAGTTTCTAATAATCATGCTAAAACAAATTTATTAAATAATAAAGTAAATACATTAAGTTATAGTAATAAGTAGGAATTAGATACCATATTATTAAATGATATTAAATTAGCATAAACCTTGGAAATGACACAATTAAAGCAGAATAAACATTTTATAGATTGATAATAGTAACAGTAATTGATATAGATAAGGAAATGTATAGCACATTTATATCACTATAATTGCTAACTAATCAAGAAACAATTGCTGGGCAAATTCGATTAATAGATAATTTCTGGTATTGTTACATGATACCTACATAAATATTCAAGGTAACTTCGCATCGAACCCTTATTCCACTAAAATATATAGCAACATGCCGCGTTTACTTCAAAATCCGTCGGATCTGTCAGTCTGTCGGTCGGATGGGTCGTGCGATATTAAACAGCGCTCTTCCTATTGAAACACACAATAACACATATATCGACGTCTAAGCGTATTCTCCAAGAGAATTGAATATTTAATGATTTCTTGAAAGCCTCGTGCGCTCTCTATGCACAAAACGGATCGGGGCGTGTATTAGTTGGGAGCTTTTGAACAACCAAGAAGGCTCCGATGCCCTGAGGCATACTAGTACAATGTTATCGCATACGATATCGGTATTGCGAAGAAATTTATGCTGATAGAGTCGATTTAAAATGGAATACTCTATTTTTATTTAACCACATATCGTTTTTGCACATTGTTATTATATGTGCTATTTAAAGTAACGTATGTACAATCATATATTTGAACCTTTACATTATCGTTTTGAGTTAAGTTTCTATTCAAGTCATTTTATTATTGCAGGGTAGTACTGTAATGTTTATTACTTATTAGAACAACCAAAAAGCTCCAATGCCTTGAGCCATTATTGTCCAATGTTATCGCAAGCAATGTCGGGATTGTAAA